TTATTTTACAATACTGTCTTAAATGAGGTAATAAAGATTACAACACAGTGCCTAGCACATAGTACAAAGCATTCAATAAATGTTAGCTATTCCTATTTAAGAACTATTTATAGTTCTTTATTTATAAACTTTTTTTTTTTTGAGACAGAGTCTTACTCTGTTGCCTGGGCTAGAGTACTGTGGCGTCAGCCTAGCTCGCAGCAACCTCAAACTCCTGGGCTGAAGCAATCCTCCTGCCTCAGCCTCCCGAGTAGCTGGGACTACAGGCACACACCACCATGCTTGGCTAATTTTTCTATTTTTCACAGAGACAGGGTCTCGCTCTTGCTCAGGCTGGTCTTGAACTCCTGACCTCAAGCGATCCTCCCACCTCCACCCCCAGAGTGCTAGGATTACAGGCATGAGCCACCAGGCCTGGCCAATAGTTCTTTATTTATAAACATTTATTCTTAAAAAATAAGGAACAGCTAATTAGAAAGAAAATTAAACTTACATGTCTTATTAGGGTTGATATGCTGCTTCAGTACATCAACAGTGCCCAAACTAACCACAAGGCTCCTGCCAAACCAGAAAGAGACCACAGGCCCATATCTCTCATGCAAATTAACCAGGAACTCGTGTAAACTTCCGCTATTCACAATATCTGGAAGATTACCATCTCTGACAAAAGAGTAACATTTGACAAAACAATTTAACTTGGGAAAAAAATCAGAAAAACAATAGTTAACTCTGAATTAACTGTGTCAATGGATTAATGCAAAGGTTCATGAAATTCAAATTACTGTAAAATCCAAAACGAAATTATATTTGCCTTCTCGCCATGTTCTATAGTCATATTTAGAAATGGATTTGTCGGATATTTTGAGAATTCATAACACTTCAAACCAAATAAAAAAGCTACACAAGGAACATCTGATTTAGATACTAGAAAACTATCCAACTTTTATAGCACCTAATACTGAGATGATAATAGACATCATCATACGCTGGTGAAAATAATCAGATCAGCCATGGCAATTTTTTTCTTCCTTCCTTCTATCTTAATCCTGTCTTTCTATTTTTGGCTTTCTCTGGCAAGAAAAAGTGAAAGCAATTAGAGATTTGATTTATACAGCACTCCTTTCTGGTCCTAACAAAGTTTAGGTTATATGCCCAGAGGTAAATTTAGGGTTAATAAAGAAAATTAAATAAGAAGGGTAATCTAAAAATATGGTTTAGTTATGATATCAAAAATGAAAAGTTGACTCTACTTGATTCCAAAAAAATAATTACTTACTTTTCTTCAGTTGGAGTAATCCCTGGAATTCCTGAAGCTTGTCTAGAAGCCTTAAGGAAAAAAACAAAAAAAAATTTAGTATAACGAATTATCATATATCCCATAAGTCAGATTGTGTTTAACAAAGACATCTGCAGGACCTTAAATGATGGCTTTCCATTTCAGTTGAATCTAGGAAATTATTTCTATATTAAAATACAAAAAAAGGGCTCTTTGCATGGAAAAGAATTATCTTAACATTCTTCCTCTGCGTCAATTAAACTAAAGTGTTGGCCGGGCGCAGTGGCTCACGCCTGTAATCCTAGCTCTCTGGGAGGCTGAGGCGGGTGGATTGTTTGAGCTCAGGAGTTCGAGACCAGTCTGAGCAAGAGAGAGACCCCCGTCTCTACTACAAATAGAAAGAAATTAATCAGACAACTAAAACTATATAGAAAAAATTAGCCGGGCATGGTGGCGCATGCCTGTAGTCCCAGCTACTC